TAAAATGTTGTAACTTAACTAATTCGGTAACGATTTATGACAAAGTTGTCGGATAGATGCTTCCATAGGTAGGTAATGAATAAATTAACCGACTTGGTTTTACATTATATCTCATAGCTTTTTGCGGTAGAAGTAATGCATTGCGAGACTTGCAATTTTTTACAGTATGTTTTTGATGGGATCTATTTTTATAATGAGTACATAATAATTGCAAGTAATAAGTCCACCTCTAGGGGTGGAATAATTACTTTGGGATGGATTGAAGTCAGTGTACCTTTTAGCAGTTAAAAAGGGAATTAATACCATATAGCTGTTAATTGTTATATTATATTTGTTTTTAGGGTTCAGTACCCAAAGGGTAAAACGGGACCCTATTACTAAGACTCCGTTGTCCGTCCATCTGTCTCTCTGTCTGTCCGTCTGTCACCAGGCTGTATCTCATGAACCGTGAATGTAAGACAGTTGAAATTTACACAGATGATGTATCTCTGTCGCCGCTATAACAACAAATACTAAAAAAAAATATTTAAGGGGGCTCCCATACAATAAACGTGATTTTTTTGCTCGTTTTTGCTCGATATTGATAACGGCAACAGATAGACGCTTGAAATATTTACTACTCAAGAATAATTAGAAGAATTCAAGCATATTTAGTTATATATTCACTTTAAAAATAAATAATTAAATTAAAATAAAACAAATATTTAAGGGGGGCTTCGATTTTAAAGATAATGATACAGAACCCTTCGTGAGTTCGCAATATTTTATAATAATTGCAGACATTTTAATTATAAATGTTTTACGTACTTAAACGTCAGTCATTTTAATGAACACATCAACTTGCATAATTGTTATAAAAAATCGGAATATATGCGCATACATTAAAATGGAATCGCATTATATATCGCATAGTGAATTTTCGTCATTCTTAAAAAACATAGTGTAATAATATTATTTAAAATAAAAACTAAAAAAAACAAATTCCAGACACTAAAAAGTAAAAAATAACTGAACAGGAGTTTTCATCTAAAATATAATCCATACTATGTATACTATATCTATACATATAATAAAATTGTAACCAAGCCGAATCTGTACATTACATATTTTTTGGAAAATCTTATTGAAATAAACATTATTATAACAGAAGCCGAAACTATAGTTTTTAGAATTTTTGTCTATCTGTCTGTCTGTCTGGGAATCATCAATCTATCAGCATCACGAGAAAACCACTAGACAGAGTTTGATGAAATTTTGGTATAATGATAGCTAGTTATCCGGATCAATATATTACTTTTTCTTGTGGGAAAATATCTCATCTCTGAGAAATCTATACCTACTAAACGTTAAACCGTTACTAATGACGAACCCGTGTGACGCTACGGCACGGTAATTATGCATTACATTACCGTGGCTACGGTGTGTCGCTCGCTAGTCTTCAAATATCTTTCGGATTTTTTCCCCGGATTTATTTTGATTTTGGTTCCCGACGTTTTGAATGCTTTACAGCAATCATGGCCACGAGAAAAACATGGTCTTCCGTTATACAGGTTTCTAGATTATATCACGATAGTAGCATTATAGTCCCATAGTACAAGACAAACAATTGAATTTAGCTAATAAATAGTTAAATCTGGTAGGTATACAACATATAAATTAAATAAATATGTGGCGTACCTAATAATAATAACGTAATACATATTTGTGCTCACATAAATAAACAAATAGTTTTGTAGATCCACTCTTTTTTGATCAGACTTACTATATTTTAATTTTTCATACGGCATACCCAATGCCACTCTTCCAACTAAAACGATATGCCATGTCTAGAAACATTTACAAATAGTACCTCTTCAGTTAAACTCTATTAAATCATTTCCGCTAAAGAGCATCATACAAAAGAAATAGATCCTATACATACATACACTCGAAAAATTTCCTTCATAGAGCTAGAAAAAATAAATATCGCCTAATAAAAAATAAAAGCATATGCACAAATGTAAAGAATTGCTTAGTAAAATTAATTTTAAAGTCATATATTATTCTCTCACATATTCAGGTTGGAACAAACGAAAGAACGAAAATTAAAAATATTGAAGATATTAATCAAGGTTAATCCAAAGGAACATTTCTTTATTTTTTTAAATAAGAATAACTGCATTTAAGTATTTTCTTAACCCCCGACGCAAAAAGAGGGATGTTATAAGTTTGGCGTCGATGTCTGTCGGTCTGTGTGTGTGTGTGTGTCTGTCTGTTGCATCGTAGCTCTCAAACGGATGGATCGATTTCGATGCGGTTTTTTCTTTTGAAAGCCAGTTTCCTTGCGGTGGTTCTTAGCTATGTTTGGTAAATATCGGTCCAGCAGAGTAAGAGTATAGCTCTTTTCCAAAATGATATAAGTCATTTTGGCGTAGGTATGATTACTCGATTAAGTGCTTCACGCGTGCCAGTGTAAGTGTAATAAAAATTAATTGGCGTAGGGTGTTTTTTTAATTGTTTAATTTATAATTATAAAAAACTTTGGTTTTATCATGAATACTGGATGGTGGTGGTGTAATATCTAGTTTTCACTATTTATTCTTAAAATGCAATTTTTTTTGAACCACTAAAAAGGGGTAAATTAACTATGTATAAAAAGGTTCAGGGAGTATTTGCCTTAGTCACCACGCTTGGCAGACGGGTTGGTGACCGCAGTTGCTGGAATATTTCACTGGTGGCGCTGCTGCCCACCACCAGGATTAGTATTTGCGTATTCCAGTCTAAATGTGGTTATACCGCCACGAATTCGGTCGCCAGAGCCTCGTCCGTTACTCAGCAGGATGTACTACGAGCAGGTGAGGTTGACAATAGGGGGCCTAAGGTGGAAGTTGGCCCCACTTACATCCCCGTAGTGTAGGACGCCCTGCAGCACGATGGACAGATGACGTAAGAAAGGTGGCGGGCAGTGGATGGATGCGGGCTGCCCAGGACCGAGATCGTTGGCGCTGATTGGAGGAGGCCTTTGTTCAGCAGTGGACGGCGATAGGCTGATTGATTGATTGAAAAAGGTTTAATAGATAGACATTGAGGTCCTAGATAATTCTGCTACTCGTGATATATCAATCGTGTATAAATATACTTGTATCATTTACATTTAAATACACAATTTATATATTTTGTAATCGATCTTCGTATATTAACAACTATCATCTTATCGGTTCAATGCCAGATAAGCACCGAGTCGGCATGCATTTTTTCCCACATCCTTATAGATCATGGTCATATTTCAGCCAATTAACACAAACCCTTAATAAATTGTACACCTACACATTTCTCATGAAACACTCCGTCCATTGGTGAAAACCCGTTTGGTAGTTTTTGAGTTTATTGTGTTCAGACAGACATATAGCGGCATCATGGAAACTTTGTTTTAAAACATGTAGTGATGAGTATTTTTATTAACTCGTTTAAGTAAACTTATTTGATGCATACACTTTTTCCACACTTATATATCTAATACTAGCGACTCACGTTTTAACGGTAAGAATAAAATAGACTATATGTGTATATATATGCGTATATATATATATATTTATATATATATATATATATATATATATATATATATATATATATATATACTTACAATGCAACTCTATGATTTCCTTTCGAATATCAATAAGCCTGGAAGAGATCACACCTGAATGTTGATGTTTATATAGATATTCTAACCATTATCATATTTTTCATTTAATAAACGATTTAAATAGAATAAATAATAAACTACGCTACCGAAGCGGTTAATAGTAGTTCTATATAATGCGTGCAGTACGAGAACCGTGAGGTAGAACTATTTGTTTAAGGCTCGTCAGTTATTAACTTAGTTGTTTAGTTTAAATTCTAAACGGCCCTCATTATTCTTATTATACACTTAGATCACATTATATCGCAGCTATATACGTAAGTTATCGAAGTAAAATTTACGAACCGTATCTTTACGCTTTGAAATTAAAACATGTTTAAAAAAATATACTTTTTCCGAGTGTTTCTAATTGTTTTCTAGATTCTAATCTATTTTATTATTAATTGTGGTTTCATCTTACTATTTTAGAATTTTACTCAGTGGGCATCCAACAGATCTATACGGATAAATAAAATTGAAGTGTCTGTTTGTAATGTCAAAATAACAGCTTTTTACTAAACGCATATGGAATTATGTATATACGGTATTTATAAGAAAAACACAATTTTTACAATTTTTGTATGTCTGTTTGTTTCCTCCAGCGAATCTCCGAAACGGCTGGGCGGATTATGACGGGACTTTCACTGGCAGTTAGTTGTTATTATAAGGAGTAACTTAACCTTATTTACTTTTATTTCAGTAAAAGAATTAGAGTTCCGCTTGAAAAAAATTTAGGTTACTTAGGGACGAACCCGAGCGATGCGAGGGTGAGTCGCTAGTATTGTAATAAAATTACTAAGCCTTTAATTTTATTTAATGCTCTTGTTAATTCACATTTAGCAATCTTATCCATTAACAAGAGGCGATTTATGATTGCAATATTTTATTTTATGAGTTAACTTAATAAATATTTATGTAGTCTACTATAAGTATAAAATATTTGTCTTTAATTTTAATTTTATTTATGATTTATTTTTAAACAGATAAATTATTTGTTAACAAATTAGTCTAATAAGACTATATATAATTTGAACTGTAACTGTACCTTGAGCATATATTGACGTTATAAAATGTTTTTGTAAAATTTCATTTTTAGATACGAAATGAAAAGAAACAGAATTTCTGTAAACAATATTAGAGTAAAGGTGAGCAACAGAAAATGCAATATTTTGTAACATTATAAGATTTTTATTTTTATTTTAAGTACAAAAATCGCTCTAGCATCGCTATACACAGGTCATTCAACTTTATACAGCTTAACATTTTTTTTTGTTTTTTTCTATGTTTTGTATAAAAATAGTTTTAGGCAGTGCGGAGGCCGGGTCAGAGGTAGAAGTTAGTGCCAGCCGTGGGAGCTGTGAGCGTCCCAGGGTTCTTCGGGTGCGGCCGCAGCGGCTTGCGCGGCGTGCGCGTATTGAGAGAAGTGGGCAGCACGCGCGTGTTGTACTTCAGGGGTGTCTACAACGTATTGGCCGTCGTGGGTGAGCTGGATGTGGGCCTGAGGTCCGGTCCACTTTCCATATCCACCAGCGTAACCGGCACCATAGCCAGCACCGTAACCGGCACCATGTCCAGCTCCTAAACCAGCTCCTAAGCCTGCTCCGGCGTATCCACCGTGAGCGGCTTTAGCGGCAGCTGCCGAGAGGGCGGCGATGTGAGCGGCCTTCAAGTGGGCGACCTCGGGAGTGTCAATGACGCGACCGTCGTGAGCGAGAGGTGCGGGGCCGTATTTCAGGAGACCTGTTTATAAAGTAAGACGTTCTTATATATCTATTTCGTTTTCCATACTTATATAGTTGTTATAGCTTAACATTATTTTTCTAATATTAGTTATTTAATCATAACTGTCATATTTATGAGAGGAAGTAAATTATTTGTAAAATTAGTTAATGGCAGTAGTAGACACGGTATTTTATTTTAATTTATATACGACAACACTTAATATTTTAACACAAATGATGAATGAGACACCAAATACCCTCCCATAATGTAAATGGTGTAAAACTATTTAGATAGACTACTATATTATAAACACGAAAGTTGCCGTTGAAATAAGATATACTATACCCTGGAGTAAAACACTATTAGGCAGCTTAGGTTGTGACCTGAGCGAAGCGAGGGTAATTCGATAGTTAAATATATTTTTAATAAACATACCAGCAGCGGGCGCTCCGTAGTGGGCACCGGCACCGTAAGCAGGTCCTGCGGCGTACGCGCCGGCGGGAGCCCAGGCGCCGTGCACGTTGGTGGCGGCCTGTGCGTGTGCGGCCAGATGGGCGGCCTTAGCGTGTGCTACCTCGGGTGTGTCCAGCACATACTTGCCATCAGGGCTGAGCTGTACGTGCGCGGGATGGCCCGCATAGAAGGATGCTTGCGCGAGGCAGAAGAAAGCGGCAAGGATGATCTGTTACAAAGAAATTATATATTACCTAGTTTTACTTGTAATGTTCATTCTAAAATGTAAGACAAATTATAAGATTATTTAGGTTTTTGTGGCTATAAAAATGTTAAATATATTTTCAATACTTATGTGTAAAATATCAGTGTAATCAATTATTTTCTCGGAAACAAGACTGAGCTATTATGGACATAGGCCAATTACACGTAATCGACGACGGCTGTTATATTTATTGATAACTGTCTCGAGTAAACATGACAGAAATACCATAAGTCAAATACCGACATGAGAACTCCGAATTCATTAAGATATATAAAAATCACTAAGTTTAAGGCTATATTTAGCCTTCGGTGCGTTTTTAGAGAATATTCTATTTAGCACGGTTGACTGGACTTGAATCAATCTAATTATTATTGTGCGAAAAGTAAGAGTCTGTTACTCTAATAATAATAAAAAATTAAAAATGTCTATTTTATCTATTTTGAAATATAAATAATTTTTCCAAACAACGGTCATTTTGCAAAAGATTCTTACGTTATGCTTGAAACATCATTATTATGCTTCAAGAGTTTTCACACAATTCTTGCAATGCATCTGATGTAAATGTCTAATTGTGCACTTTGTTTTGTGATAATCTTGTTTCAACATTAAACTAGAGCTCTGTGTGTGAATGAACAATCATCCTAAAAAGTTAACTAAGTAATTGTTGTGAAATTGGAAGCAATCAAGAAACGTGTCGAAAAGTAAATTGTTTTTAAACATTTTAATATGAAATAAGAAAGTGGAGTAAGTTAGAAATAATGATAATTGTGCTCAAAAGTATTTTATATATTATGTAAATTTTTACTATATGTTATGTAAATAAGTCAATGAAAATGAAATTTATTAAGTAATTAATTAACATAATTCAGACAGATAACTTAGAACAACTACACAGAATATTATAAAATATCAAAGGCGTGGTATCGTGTAACGAGATAATGGTAACAGGGAAGCTAAGAAACCAGTAAATTTAAACAATGTTAATCTATCTCAGATTAAGCACGAATCTTTACGTAAGAAATAGAGCATTATTAACATACTATGAATCATAACTAATATTATTCATTATAAAATAAAAAATGTTTGAAAATTTTAAGCAAGGTCCAGATTTAGCATAGCTGATAAATTAAACTGATTATTTATTACCTAGATACAGGCACCGATAGCGGTGAACTAGATCATTAACAACACTATTATCAACAAAGCCTATATTAACTTGTATTACACCGCGACTATACAGTATATCATATTACAAAATCCGCCGCTTATTGAAACCTTATTATAAGCTTAACCGCATAGGTCAGTTTTCTATATTGAATGAAAAATATTATATTATTTCAATTGTTTAAAAATGTATCTATTTATAAAAACTTTCTTAAAACAGAACCTTTTCAAATAGTACTCTTTGTTATCCCTAGTTTTGTAGGAAGCGTTACGTTTGTGCAAACTACTTATTTGCGAAGTGGTTCAAACCAATATTGTATAGTTAGTCCCGATTGCGAAAGTACGACGAATTGGTAATACTGATGAAACTATGAGTATAATAAAATGTCTCGCTATAATCTATTTTATATTATTCTAAGTGGATTAATCAGAAAATATTTTCCTTCATTTTTCTTATTTATATTTTTATATCAAAATACCGTAATTCTGAGGCAATAAATCTATTTGGTTGGCTTCAGTCTATTTCGGTTATAATTCATATATACTGATAACGGAATACTACACAAAGCAAGTTACTTAATAGCAATTAAGTTTTTTTACATATATACAATTATAATTTTAATTATAAAATTAGGCCACCTTACACTACAGGCAATTCGCTTTTTACCACTTATTGCGCGCCATTAATATGTAACTGGGTTTTAAAAAAGTCGAACTGTGACCACATCTATCATGGAAATAAAAACTGTATATAGGTTTATATGTAATATTAAAATTTTAATCAATAAAATATATGCTAGATTTTAGAAGTAACATTGCGTACGTATATTGAGAATATCCGTATTAACATTTACGTATACGAGTATATACGGCCTGAATTGTTTAAAGTATCCCTACTATTTGACAAATGGAAGGGCCCACTTCTCAGAAAATCGACTGTTTAAAATGTCAATAGCAACGGTCAAAGTAAAGGTCTGATCTAATTCCCATTAGGAGCGGAATGACTCGTAAAAGATCTTTTAACCTTTGAGAATATCGGAGGTCCGAAGTCTGCGCCTTATCTGACGGAACTGCGGGAAAAAGATCTAGAAATAATCATTTTCCATTCTAATATTATTAAGTCCATCGACTACTAAGGTCGATTAATATCAATAAATATTGTTTGAAAATAAAACTATATATCGTTTAGAAAACGATTACATCGTTTCATGGGTAACAAAGCAAGTGAATAATTTAAGGCGGGACCTCATATCGAGCGCCTTTGCATTCTATTGCAAAAGATATGTTGCAACAGTTCGGAATTATCATTCAGCGAACTGGTGCACAACAAGCCTGTTGCACTGCATTACTCAAGAGGGGAAGCGGTGGACGTGAGGAAGTGTTATGGTTACGAAGGTCATAAGTAAAATTTCTGATGGAAACTATTATTACCGCGCGTCACGCTCAAGCGGAGTTTGTGTGTTGGACCAATTTGCGGTCAACGTTGCATGATTGCTATGACCGGGTAGAGAAAGCCAACGGATCTGGGTGTTTTGCACATTTATTGCACCCAGTCACCGAATCTAACAATATATCGAAAAATTATGTTATTTTGCTTTCGATTTTCTTTATACCCTCGTACGTAATTTTATATATTAAGTATATATAAGCTCAGATGTATATATACATTTTTAGAATAGACAGGTTTAGGCATGATATTATTTTATAAAGATATTTTAAATTAAGAAGATAATCTGCCAACGCAAATAACTTAGCATAACAATAACACTTCAACTGAAGCGTAAAGATGATCGCGTCGCGCCCGCCCATAATCGAGCGCAATTCATTTCAGGATATCTCCTACCAGTTTAAGTCTCGTTTAAATATTATTTTATTAAAGGTAAACTAAAATCGTTTTTTCACATATACATACTCGTACGTTCTAATTTTCTGAATGCAACAATCAGTTTTAGATCCTACGTAATATTCAAATGTAATTGAAATGCATTATCAAACAATGACTAAGAGTTAATTCCGTTGGATACGGCCGTAGGCGACAATTAGCCGGATACATGAATTAATTGGTTAATCTTCAAACAAATACCTTCTATTTTCTTAAAATCGGCCTTGACATTATGTTAATGCATTTGTTAGATGTAAAGCCGCCTTCTATCCGCCCGCCTTTGGTACTCGTATACCATAATATATGTAAGTATATACTTAAAAAATATTACTTAACTAAATACCTATAAGTTATTTTCTTCATATAGCACGTTATATATTATCATTCTATATAATTTTATAGACTACCAGAAGTACTTCAGATATACATATATAAAATATTGTTAAGCAGCTAAAACCGAAACAAATTATACAATTAAGGCTTCAAATAAATTGTTAATCTTCTTGTCTCATATGTATTGAAAAAATATTATAAAAATTAGATATTTTAAAACATATTTTTTTCAAATAGCGTTATGGAAAAAATAAAAAAAAAGACTTGATTATAATTTCAATAAATATATACTTACATATGAGAACTTAAATATATTTTGATATAATATATAAATATATAATGTAAAAAATGAGATTCTTACCATCGACTGCATGATGATATTCTTAAACTAAATCGGGAGATCTCAAACGAACTGACTAAACGCTACTGTATCCAGTACTCGCCTAGAAATTTTCGCCTAAGCGAGTGTACACAACAACCTCCAAAGTCGGAATGCTGTTGGCCTGAGACCGCCCCCTTATATATGTAACACCCCGCTAGGTGGTACGTAATTGGAAACAATTAAGTGCAATGCCGTAATTTTAATTGTAATGCGTGAGCATTTTTTTGACACGAGGGATGCTTTTAAGGGTGAAAAGTATTTTTTTTTTATTTATTTTAAAATATTCTTCTTTAAACATTTTATGTATAAGTTCGACCACAACCTTTTATGTGCTTATAAATCTCTGTACTATACTTATCATTTTTATCGTAAAATGTATTTTATATGTAGGCATAATTTAAAAAAAGTAAAACTAGAAATATTTTTTTAACTACGACCTGTTCTAGTATTGTAAGTGTAATATTTTCTCAATGGAATTCCTTAAGTAAAAGGCCAAGAACAATACGGGTCGAACAAAGAACGGGACGCGTTGATGTCTTTTCTACGGACGGTAAAGGTAATGATTACTTACACGAAAAGTGAAGCACGCGGACAAAAATGATTATAAATGAATTTAAAAATCATAATTAGACTTCAATCTCTCAGTTTTGAAATGAAATATTTCTTTCTTATGAACATAGATTTTTTTAGGATATTCTATTTTTTGTATTTACATACTTTAAATACCGTCCGTCATTGATAAAATAAGACATCAAAATATATTATTATATCTATAAATTAATAATTTGTAAAAAAAATATTTTATAATAAATTTAATAACTCTTTTATGAAATCTATAGATTTTTATAAGGCCTAAATAAAAATGTTAAACAATGTCTACATAGTGAAACTTCAATCGTCAAACTTGAGATATGACAAACATACATACAAAAGAAAAAAAAATACTTCCCCCAAAAGAAACTTTTGGTTAGAGAATTATCTTATATGATTTGACTTATTTTAATAATTTAGTATGTTAATTAAGATTTAGTACTTTCGTTTTATCTAAAAATACCTAGCAATTTACTGAATATATAATAGTAAATGTGATATTTCCATAATTTTATTACAATTTTTATTGAGCATAACCCATTAATATTTCATTAATTATTATTTCTATATAAGTTTAATTATATAAGTCCATTCGCTCTGCACTGAATATGTAAGGAAAACGTTCAGTAAAAATATATTAATTATTTATTTCTTTATTTAATACAATATGTACTTAATATTTTATTCTGCACTAATTGCAGTAGCATGCGCTTAATGAACTGGTTTTGTGTCTCGACGGTGTTATTGATCTCATACTGATGGATATTTCGAATAGTTCAAATTAACGCATACATAGTTTTAATAAAATCGAGATCCGTAATCTTGTACATTTTTTTATAATATCATAAATATAAATGAGAAGTAATAGTCACATACATTATTTTTTTAAATAATAACAATTTTTAAGCAGATTTGTCCCACCCACTTGATATTAGTAATACCTACGTATTTTTTGTTAGTTAAATTTCTTTATTTTAGCTTTGAACCTTTTTTTAATTCATATTTTTTATCTGTCATTAATATAAAATCTTTTATAAATATAATTTTTTTATAAATTATTTTTTGCTTTATCATTAAAACATGATAAATGTTATAAATGGAATTTGATTTAAAACCTTTAAATGGTTAAAAAAATACTAAGATAAAAATATTTTTTCGAAATTAAATAACTATTTATTTATACGTAAATATATTATTAATCATATATTTCTCTTAACTTTTGCAAATTGAGGTGGGTCTCTCGGCCCTATACTATTCTTATAGATCAAGGCTCTAGCCCTATGACTATGTCCGTTAAAGTTTAACTTTTATCACCAATCTAACAAAAGTATTGTTCATAGTTTACTGAAAAACATACAATACTCATAAAATTAAAATGAATTTGATGTTTTTAACATGTTTTAATATTATTTCTTTAAGTAAGGAAATACTTCCCAACTATAAACTATATTTCTTTATTTTCTTTATTTAAAAATGATGGTTCTAGACAAAGCAACGTGCAACTGCTATTATTTTAATTAACATCTCTCAACAATCAAAAAAATCCCTTGATCGAAATGTCAAGTGATATCAATAAAAAACATACTGGTACAGATACTGGATTCACTTGGCCTTGGCGTCCCGTCTCCTCTCTCACCCTTGTAGCCTTACAACTTGTGTTCCGGTCGATTAAGTATACAATGTTATATTGATACATAATATAAATATATGTATGTCAACGCCGAATAAATTTTTATTTGTATTTATTATTTACATTATTATTATTTTCTCTTAAACTTTAGTTAAGTATAAAATAATAATAAAAATTTAAGGAACACTTTTAATAACTAAGTGATATCGTTTGTGTTATATATTTATTCTGCCACTATATCTATAGTAATCAAACAAAATCCACGAATTTATCTACTTTCGGAGTATTCAAAAAATGCAAAATCTATATTTCTCAGCTAACAAGTGATTCCCGATAAAAAAACGGTATTATATTAGTTAACTTTAAGGAACAATAAAATTACACTATAATTACAAACACGCGTGCGTATTTTCTTTAAGTTGATAACTACTATGCAGTATGCATGAACTCCTTCTTACCAGGACTAAGACCCTTTTTTAACGTTGGGAAACGCATTTATGCATTCCACCTGTCAGAAAATCCAGTACTACCCACTGAATTTCCGCGTATTAACGGGGCGTTATAGAATCGCTTTCACACTTAAAAATCAAGTTCTATGGAAACGTGTTAGAAGTGAAACTTCATTGGTTATTTATATTTAAAATCTGTAAGATTAATAAATAAATAAAAAAAACTTGTAATATTACACTCAAACAAAAATATGATTCAAACGAATATCACACAAAGAGGAGAGAATAATATTCTATCTCTTTTTATATAATGCAAGTTACTATGGCAACCATGACGGTTTTTTTTTACGATTTCTCGTGATGCGACCTTGAAATTTTACTCTCATGAGCGCAAAGAAATTTCGCTTCAAAATATCCTCCGTCCTGTATGAAAAAAAGTAAAGGGAGTTGAAACTGTTATAGGCCTTATCGAACCAATTAAAATAAAACATATTTATTCATTAACGTGGGATACCTTGTAAGAAAAAATACCTTTAGTGTTATGTATTCTATAATTGTCAGAAAAATCTGTTCTCTATTACTACTTAGCAAGTCAATCTATGTATAATAATAAGTATTTGTTTTACATGTCGTAGGCTACATATAACTTGCTAGAAATACGCTTAGCAAAATAACCTTATAATATTCCATTAAAATCTCCTACACTTGAACTAAGGTGTGAAAGTCGCTAAATAAATAGTAAAATAAAAAAAATATACTTTAATTAATAAAATTAATTAAAAAAAATTTTTTACTATATCAAACGTAAATAAATTTAATAACAAAAGTAGTACATGAAAGTGCATGTTTTTACATAATTATAATATATAAATATTATTTTTGAAAACAGCTTTTCTTAAATTAAATTCACAAAGGTAAAAAGCTTTTATCGTTCAATAAAAGCTGCAAGTGACTTTTGAATGCTATATTCAAATGTCCCAATTAACATTGAATAAATTAAAATTGGAATTCTAAACAATATCACCCTAACCAGATATTTTATTGTCTTTCAGTCCATTGTTAGATCCAGGAAATAGACCCGGAGGATGTCAGTTATATCAATCATAATATACCTATAAAATAATATTTTAATAATAAGTCGCCCCATTGCCCCACATAAATAAAATATTTTAAGTATCCATAAGTCATTGAATTCATCTATTAAGCTTACCATTAAAGATACTTTTTAGCTGAGATAAAAATGTTAAACCTATATTTTTGGACAACCTGTGTTTTTAGCCTTGCGTCTTAAGCAAATGTAGTTTTAATACAGATTTGAACAAATGTAAAACGTTGAAATAATTTAGTAACCACGTCAAATGTCAAGTTATAGCCTAAATCTAAATCGTGACGCCTGTAGTGACTAGACGATTATCGAGTAGATAACTTGTAAACAGCTACTTCTCCTCTATTTGCTTTATTTAAACGCAGGTTAGTTTATAATTATAAATTTTAGGCAATGAAATGTATAAGTGCTTGGTTAAAACAATAATTATTTTTTTATTAAATATATTATGACTTCAAAATCACCCAAAAATAAGGGTGGATTTTTTCTTAAAATTAATATGAAAGCACCCTATTTATTTATTTAAAAAGATCATGAAAATTACAAATGGCTACACTTTACATACGCAATAAATTAACACTTACTTAATTCAGTAACTCATTTTTTTGCAATCGGTAACTTTTTAGTAACACCTAAAATATTAAAGGAATAATGCAGAATATACTCGTATGACGTACAGTTAATGTACGTACAGTTAAGATTAACTAATTATAATTTATTTATAAAAATTAACCCCCTACTAAATTTCATATGCATAATATATTAATTACTAAATAAGCTATTTTAGTACTCAGTTAGTATCGTATTCCCCTTAGTTTAGCTTCATTATTTAGATAGGCAAAATCTCATTCATTTCAATCATGTTTGTTAAACGGACGTCTACGGCAGACGATTGCGCAATTCATAATTAAAAACACAAACTAATCTCGATAGAGATTATATTTTGTATTTTATACTTACCTTTAAGGGGCGTGACTCGTTATAATTACATCAGCAATCTTACAACCAATTAAATAAATAATTTCCTGTAATAAATCAAGGTAATTCAAATTAGTGCATACTAAACTTTTAATTTTAAAAATCTTGAAGTGCGAGTCAGACTGGCGTCAAGATAGCTTCCCGACCTATTGTATTATGTGATTTCAAATAATTTAAAAACTCTTAACACTTCATAAAATATATTTTCATTTATTAAATATTTTATCACCCAAAATTA